AACAAAACTTCAACCGGAAGGAGGAATGTCTGAAACTCAACAAAACTCAACAAAACCACAGGGACAGATAATCTCCCCTCCTCATCAAAACAATACATCCACAACAAAACACATTAATCAACCATCTCCTGATTAGGACAATAGCCTACCTCACAAACTAGCCTTCTCACAGCCATAAATACTCCACCCACTCTCAAGCCTACCCAGAGCACAATTTGCTGTCCTCTGAAGATGCCAGCCACAGAGACTGGCGAAACGTTAGGAAGAACCACTTTCAGAACACGACCAAGAAGCCCGAAAAACCCACAACAACCATTAGATCCCGGCCGTGAAAGCCTTCGCGAATAAACTGTATAAAATGTTTTCAGAAGACACAAGGGACGGCAGAATTTTTAGGGAGACAGAAACAAATATTGGGAAAAGACGCACAAGAGAAGAAATCACTTAGACAGATGAAAAAGAAGAAAATATTAAGTTAGCCCTCAACACAAAAGGCATGTAAAGGGGCATATCTTATCATAAAAAAGGAAACTAAACTGAAATAAGGGATCACAGATCAGGATAAAGGCATACAATGGTGGTTTTCAAGATCAACTGAAGCTAGATATAAGGATGGGGCAAATCAAATAGTACTTAATATACACTAGATATAGACATGATAGAAAATGTGGAGATAGAAATGGCTAAACAATTATATAAAGAAAATCAGTAAATGCTTTAGATAACATCTATTATGTGTTAGGAACCTACTCAGTTATTATTGGCATAAAATATAAAGTTCATCGGTTAAATCACCTCAAAGTTATATAGATTTGGAACTGGGACTACTTTTGCTGGGTATGTTTCTAGAGGATTTTGAGAGCACTGTATGCTCTGAGAGCAATATCATGATAGTAGCCAAAATTGTATATTAAAATATACAAATGAATGGTATAGATGTTTAAAAATATAGATTTTGAAGAGATAACCAAGAAGACACTAAGACACAGAAAACAAATATTTATGAGCAACTCATGTAACAAGTAGTTTAACAAGCACGAATGGAACTAAGCCGAAAAAATTAATTTAAAAATTTTTTAAAACAGAACCCAAAAGTGTAAATCACAGAAACAACAAATAAGTGCTGATATGCTACTAAAACTCACCTTGTATTTGCTTGAGAAACTTCTTATTCAGTTGTTCCACCTCCCCAAGAGTCATCATATTCACTGAAACATGAACGAAGTGTCACAGGTTAAGCAGCAAAAGACTAGGAAGCAGGGCACCTTATAGGTGTAACTGGAAACATTATCTGCCAATATAATATTTACAATCGTGGTAGCAGCTATGTTAAGGATAAAATCAATTTACCGCTTGACAGCAGTTCAGATTTTCCCTATTATTGTAGCTCTAAACTAATATTCTAAAAACACTAGTACCTTTGATTTCTAAAAGCAGCAAATCATATTGCTCTGACCATATTATTCTGATTTTATTCCTTATGAATCTTGATGCTTTAAGAAGACTATGAACAGAATAGCTCCTATTCAGCAAAAAGCATGCCCGTTTATTATTTATTGCTTCTTCACCTGTGAGCACAGCATTTAGGTCCCTCCTAGCTAGAACTAGGCTTGCATAATAAATACTAAACGTTTATCTATCATTCTAAAATTGATCAAAAAAGACACCACAATATTAAGTTAGCACTGCAATATTATTCAACTTTACTCAAGAAGATCCTCAATGGATCACATACCCTGGGATTAAGTGTGTTTCAGACTATAGCCTAAAATCACACTTTTAACAAAGTGATAAATATGACAGATGATTTCCAAAAATGTAAAATCAAGTCGTTTTGTTTACACTACTTCGGTATCTGCATGAACTGAGAAGACTCTACTGGTGAATTGTCAGGTCAATAGAAGCACTGGGCAAGCAGGTTTAGTAAGGAAAATTTCCCACATTTCATGCTACATTTGACAATTTGGTACAACTGCCAGATCTATCCAGACATGTTTTAGGCGAGCATACCAAAATTACATTTATTCTCTCTCCCTTCAAGTAACTTTCCAACAAACCTGCTCTTAAGATTTTCCTAAAAGTACAGAACAAAACACATTCAAAAGTACACAGATCTCATAACTTCTTCCACTTACATTGCTCCCTGCTGTACTGGGGATATCTTCTTTGGACAGAAGTATCTGAGTCCTCTTTAGTTTTTTCTGACTCTGAAGACTGGTTATGATTTGACCACAATGAACTACCGCAACAAAATGCAGTACCCGTTTGTTGCAGTACATCAAGTTTAAAATCACTGGATTCTCTTGGCTTCAGAATATTTTGTGAACAGTTTGAGATACTCCCAGAGTTCCCATCTATCCATTTTGCAGAATATTTAGGGACCTGAGAATCAAATTGTGGAAGTAGCTTTCTCTCTCTCTGACGTCTAAAGCTAAAAAGCCGGTGCTCCGTTTGTTTTGAATCTTCAGTATCCAAATCCAAATCTTTGTTTTGTGCATATTGTATAATCCAGTTAATTTTTTTGCTCAAGATATTTTTCAGTTCTGCATATGTACTCTTAGAAAGTTTTGACCGTGGGCAACTCTGATTTGCTATTAAATGGAACTTCTCAAAGCAGTCTCTGTGTCCCCTTAATGATCTTGTATGCAGAAGATCAGATTTTGGTATACCTAGGGAAGAAAAATGTGTATGTTGATATAACAAACATAATATCAAATGAAAGAATCCAAGAATTTTAAAAAGAAAAATACAGAATTCAAAACCATCCTTTAAGTACATGCTAAGCAATGTAAATGATAACCACTGAGCCTCATGGTGCAGTGGTTAAACTGCTGTACTGCAGTCAAAACTGTGCTCACGACCTGGGGTTCAATTCCAGGTAGCTGGCTCAAGGCTGACTCAGCCTTCTATCCTTCCGAGGTCGGTAAAATGAGTACCCAGCTTGCTGGGGAGGGGCAATGTGTAGACTGCATAATTAACTTGTAAACCGCTCAGAGAGTGCTTGAAGCACTATGGGGCGGTATATAAGCAGCACACTTTGCTTTTGCTTTGCTTTTTTTATAAGTGATATCAACAAAATCTCATTATTAAGAAACAGGCTTCCAGAGCAATACTGAAAACAATGATTCATAAATATGAACGTATTTACATTTACAGCTTATCTTCTCAAATATATGACATTTATCTGGTGTGCTATAGCTATGTACACAGTTTTAATCATGCCACGTGGGTAGTTTAGTATTACAAACAGGTTGCAATGGAACACATGGTTTAACATGGTACTTTCAAATGTCTATTTTAAAGTAATATGATTCAAACAGAGAAATACAGTTTCATTTTCCTATGGGGGAGGAAAAAAATCACCAAAATTAACAAAGACTCAGAAACAGTGTTAAACGCTTGGGATCGTTGAAGCACCTTCTAATACGGGTGCACACCTGATTTGGCTTTGATATGAGCCTTTGTTAATTTTTGGTGAATTTTTTCCTCCCCCAAAGGAAACAATGGAGCTGTCAAATTTTGACAGCTGTCAAAAGTTGGTGGGGGAGGAAAAAATTCAGCAAAAATTAATGAAAAGTGAGATCAAAGCCAAATTAAGTTTGCACCCGTTTTAGAAGGTGCAGAAGCTATTCCAAGCATTTAAAACCATTTTAGACCCCTTTATGACACACTTAAATTTGCAAAAATTGACTTCGCAAACCCATTCAAATGCATTGAGTCGGCTTCAATGCATTTCAATTGGGGAACCAGGTTTCACACAATGATGTTTCCTATGGCGATTTTCGCTTAAGGACGGCAATCCGTTCCAATTGGAACGGATTAACCGGTTTTCAATGCATTCCTATGGGAAATGGTGTTTCGCAGAACGATGGTTTCACACTGTGATGAATTTTTTTGAACCAATTAACATCGTTGTGCGAGGCACCACTGTACATACATGAATGGTTCGAATTTTTGAAAGATGTCTGGAATTTGGGGGGACAACTGGGAAGCCACTGAGATGTAAAAAATAAATAATTGTAAGCAAATCATGTAACACAATGTTTGATAAGCACAAATCAAATGTAGATAGAGTGAAAAACTAATAAAATGTTAAAAAAAACAACAGAAGTCTAATGTGACATCTCAAACTCATCCTAGAGACTGAATTTAGCATTCTGCAGCCTGATGGCCACATGGCAGGATTTCATTAAATAATTCAAATAAGATTGGTTAGTGACTAACTTTTGACCAAACTCCGGGAGGCAGTGGAAGACAGGCGGACCTGGCATGCTCTGGTCCATGGGGTCACGAAGAGTCAGACACAACTTAACAACAAGTGACTAACTAGTTGCTAAACATTAAAAGACAAATGAACTGCTCCAGATAAGAAATTATCATTATCAGTTAGCAAAATTCACCTATCCTCCACATTACCTTAGCATTTTTATTTTATGGAGCTGTTTTACAACACTGTGGAAATACACTGTCTGACCTTTTTCTCCTTTCTGACTCTGATGTCCAAATCATCAAGTGAGTTTTTGCCAGTCTAACCCAGAGCTAATACAGGATTTACCTGAATCAGTCACACAGGCCTAGTTTGCAGCTCTATTCCTAACAATTTTGTATCATAATCTAAACGTAAATCACCTTCCAACAGTTGTAAATTAAGTAATAAACAGCCACTGGCTAACAGCTTAGTTAGTACATTATGTCCTCCTATCAAGTTGGAACCAATTTATAGCAACTCTCATAGGGCTTTCCAGGTGAATGAAATATTTAAGGAGTGGCTTTACCAATTACACTTCCCCAGTTAATTTCTGTGGCTAAGTGGGGATTTGAGCTCTAGTTTCCAGAGTGCTAGCCCTTCACTCTATCCACTACACCACAGTGGGTACCTACTAAGCCTGACACTTACACTATGCCAATAAGGATTCTCTGTATTTGAAGAGTTTTAACTGAATATTAAAAAGAAATTTTGTCCCAACTTATTTTTATCTTCTTAAAGATAAAAACATATTTACAACATAATGTAAATTACAAAACCTACAACTGTATTATCTACTTTCCAATAAACACTTTAAAACTATTTCTGCAGCCTTCCACAATTGAAGATCTATCTCATTATATGTAACAGCCAGCATTAGCTTTTGTACCCAGCTCATGATGCTCTGTTACACAATAGCTGATGAGTTTGTTTTCTTTTTATGTGCAAGTCTTGGCTCCTCCGAGTTCTGCTAGCAGCTGTGCAAGTTCAAAGAACAAAGAACAAGCACAGACATAGCTCTGTCGCCAGGAGTTGCAACAAAGCCATCAACTCCCCACTCTATCTCTTTCTCTCCACCAACCCCATTGTTTCACCAGGCTGGATGGTGTTAAAGTACTTATTTGCTTAAAAAGAATTATCCCTATGTAACTGATCATTAAATACAATGACATTTTAGACTTTTAGATTGTTAGATGGGACTGTGTGAGCAAAACAGAATTTTGTTAAGGTTTTTGCTGCAGCATTTTGTAACGAATTTCTGTCTAAGTCCATGGGCCAGCACATTTACTAACAATTTTTTAAAAAGCACGCTGCAATTTTAATTAGTATACAAGCAAAGTATTAGTATACAAGTGAAATTATAATTGATTATAATTAGACATGGGCTATTCATATTCGTATCCCTGTGGATTCAAACATGAACAGCAGCACCATAGGTGTCACGAAGGTCCATTCCCCCCCCCCCCCCCGAATCATCCAGTCCACTCACTGCACAACACTGGGGTCCTTTGTCATTGTCATCCTCGCGGCAATCGCAAAGAAGCCTGGCTGGCTCTTCCCCACCTCCTTATGCAGCCAACCACTTTGGTGAGGAGGTGGGATGGTGAGTCTCCCCACTCAGCTGACGAGTGGTCAGCTGCACAGGGAGAAAGGGAAGAACCAGCCACACTCCTTCCATGATTAATGCGCCAACGAGGAAGGATCCCAGGATTGCGTGGCAACTAATGAGTGGACTGGGCAGTTCTACGGGAGGGAATACAGTACGTATATGTCTGTGGCACCTGCGGTGCAGCTTATTCATGTAGGGGCACTGATAACATACACTATGTTGATCAAAATACAGTACTGGAAAGCTTGCATACAGCAAAATGCACATGAAGATAATCTATTCCAATGAACCACCTTAACCTAAGGTACAAGGGAAAGATAAAAACATTTTGTCAGAGGGGGAATAAGGAAAGGACATCTTTCCCAATGTAAGTATCCAATTCTATCAATAAAACTGATTCCTAATATATTTCTTTAAAATCTATCTATTTATGTACAGCTTTGCAGCTTTTAGTCTTTTACATTTGATTTATTTTATATATTTGATTTTTATTCTGCCCTTCCCCCAGAACCATGACCAAGGTGGCTAAATCCATCTCTATCCTATAACCAGACCTGAAGTCAGATTCAAATGGATCTAGATAATCTGCTGCATTTAGGAAGTCTTGGAGCAAAAAGTTTACATTGTCTGGCACCTTCACCAAGAATTGAATACTCAATATTGAACTGGCCAGTAATTATCTGACAGAGGAGGGCTCAAGGTTAGCTCCTCCCGCAACCTCTTTTAGGTAAGCCAGAACACTCAGAGACATTCTGTACTCTGATTATCAAATTAGCTAGTCTACCCATGGTCTCTTTCACAAGCCAGAAAGGCAGAAATCCATGACATACACAGATGGCCTCATCTCTCCATGGATCCTGTCCACATCATAAAGCTGTACAAGCTGAAACTTATCACTGGATTATCACTAGACAAGCATGAGCTGAAGACAGATCCACTGAGACATTCCTACAAGATTTAAATTAGAAGGAATATTTTATCTGCAAAGAGTTTTACAAAATGATTCACCAGCTATTGATTTGTCTGAGTTCTTGTCTCATGGCCAGACTACAAGGCCTTGACCACTTGAGTAGCTCTGATAGTCAGTTTGGGCAGTTACATTATTGTTTTAGCAACCCCTCCCCAATTTTTTTTAATGGAAACAGCAGCTCTTTCCTAAACGTTTGAACAATAGTGGAAAGTAGATTATCTTGCTCCAATTGTAGTTTTTACGTCCCCAAACGGGAAGAGATCTTGTTGCTTTCTTAGCCTTTATGGATTTTATTTATGACTCTTGGGAAGGTATTATGCCTTTTCCTTAAAATGAATCCTGGTGTACCCCTGCTGAGTCACATAGAGTGATGCACAACAATAACATCCTTGCCACCTTTATATTCTGTCCAAATCTCGTAACACTAAGGACAGACACCATCCCACCACCATACAAGCTTGAGACTGAAGTAGAAGCAGAGATTTAGTCATAGTAATAGGAACAGAAGAGGGCAGCTTCAGTAGGTGCAAGGAGTAATGGAACATTATAATAGCATAGTAATTGACAAACTACTTGATAATGGGATGCAACATGAACAGCACTGAGATTCATCACTGTAATTATTCAGACACTTTTGCCTGTGACAGAACTGAGATTTATAGCCTTCAGAAGAAACATGTTACCTTGTAGCATGGAACTGATGCCAAGTGTTTAGAGATGAGCTGACCAGCCATTAAAGTCCATATAACTATAAATGTATCAGACCCTGTAACTATTGCTCTTTTTCTAGAACAATAATCTCCAATCAAGTTGAGTGTCAAGACTAGAATCTCAAAAATAGTGTCTATCATTGTCTGCTTATCTGCTAGCCATCTACAGTTGGCAGTAGCAACGGGCACTTCATATTCGTATCTTAGATATACAAATATGAACCGTGGTATCACAGGTGCTTCAGTTCCCTCCCCCAGAACTGGCTGGCTCACTCGCCAGGCTCTGTGCAGTGCTGCGGTCCTCCTTCGCCAGAGGCATGACAACCCTGGCAGGAGCCTGGCTGGCCCCTCCACGCCCTCCTGCTCAGCTGACTACAGTACTTCAGCATGGAGGTGAGACAGGGAGTCTCCCTACTCAGCAGGAAAGTGGCTGGCTGCATAGGGGGGCAGGGAAGGCCCAAGTTGGCTCCTGCTTGGATTGGTATGCCACTACCGAAGGTGACGGCAGCACCTTCCAGAGGCCAGTGAGTGTGCTGGCTGATTCTGGGAGGGAATTGGGCCCCACAGCACATGTGGTGCTACAGTTCATAGTCGTACCCCAAAATATAAATATGAAGTGTCCATGTCTAGCTGGCTACCCATAAGCAAGTGTATTGCTTGTACTCATCTGTACTCAGAACAGATGAGTACAAGCAATATAAATTCAAATGCCAAGTAGATGCCAGCACATCTTTTCAAAAGCTATATTCTATAAAACATGAACAAGCATGTTATGTTAATAAAACTAAGAAGAAACCCTACAGCAAAATGTCTAAATAAGCTCTTAAATACAGTAGATTATATATCATTTACTCTACATTGCTTTGTTGTTACATGTTTGGGGGAGGAGAATTTCCATGAATATATTAAACCGTTAAATACAGATGTACTACTCTTATTATTTGAGAACACAAAATTCCTTTCTTCAACAAGGTTACACTTCTTACAATCTGGTTTTAGAATTTCTCCCTGTCTCCAATGTCAATAGCACAGTATTATTGTACAATAAGCTACACTTACCTTCAAGGTTTAGCTCAAAACAAATATGGCAAAATGAGAGTGTCTCCCTTTCTGTTCCTAATTTGCACACACTGCAAACATTATCATCATTCAAATCAATGTTAACAAACTGCTCTTCGTTCATAGTGTCCCTAAAAGAGAAAATGAAACAGAAAACAGCTTCAACCTAGCTCCAAAATTAGCATGTGACCAAGAGTTAAAAGGAGTGAAAGAAATGAACTCATTGTGTAAAAACTGAAATCTACGTAATGATATCTTTATTCTTTTTACATAATTTAAGACTACAGGATTAGTTCACTTCTTCTGCATTACAGTGGACCCTTGACTTACAGACGGCTTGACTTACAGACTTTTTGAGTTACAGACTTCTTTGGCCGCAAAATTTAGGTTTGACTTGCAGCCTGAGAATTGACTTACAGACCAGAAAAAAACCAAAATGGAACAAAAAAGGCCTGTTATGGGATTAATCGGTTTTCAATGCACTGTAGGTCAATGGAGACTTGACTAACAGACTTTTTGACTTGAGAACCGCCTCCCAATACGGATTAAGTTCTCAAGTCAAGACCCCACTGTATTTAAATATTTTAAAATTCATTATACATGCATTTAAATTATACGTAATTATATTGAATTATATACAAATCATATTTTTCCTTAGCCTGACATGAAAGAAAACAAAGCACTTATTTTTAACCTGCTCACTCTGGTTTCCTGTGAACAATTAGCTGTATCAAAACTCCTAAAAGCTTCATCCCAATTCAGCTTGGCAATCACCAGCAGATGCTTTTTGCATTGTCACCCACCTAAAAACTGGAACAGACTTGCAGCTTTTACTCATCTTTTTGAGAAACACCTGTAGCTGTTTTTCCCAGTACAAAAACAAAAATGACTTGTTGGTATTGTGGCAATATTATTCTGATTTAGTTAACACGCTGAACTACCAAAATCATTTTGCTCATACAAGGCCCCAATGCAATATGTACCTTGTCTTGAGCAATAATTAAATCCAATTAAAGTTTGGGTTATTAATATATTATAATATGTTAATTGTAACTTCAATGAACACTCTTGACAGTTAAAACATGTTTGAGTGTCTGTTTAACAGGTAGTGAACTGGAAACAAGGATTCAGAGGCCAAAAGCTTTTTTTAATTTGCCACATTTTCCACCCCAAAAACCACTAAACAAGCATATCTTTTAATCCTTCTTTTTAAAAAATGGAGCCAGTGACAAAAATTAATGACCTGACCATAGCTAGAGTCTGACGGTTCAACCCACGTCTCTGAGAACCCAGACTCGTTTTACATGTCATCTTTTAATCAGCTGGTTTTCTCCAGAGAATTCAACGACGCTCTTGATTCCCATCCCTCAAATTTGAACCTGGCTGTGACAAAATTAAAGGCACTTGACACATGCTCAGAGAAACACCCCCTCCCCCATTTCGACCCTCTCTAAGGGGAACAGCACTTAAGCACTGCGATGGTCTTTCGTCCCAAAACTTAACCCCCACCCCTTGTTCAGCGACATGTTTTCAGGGCGGCCCACACCCACACCCAATCCGCCATACGAAATATCCGCCCACTGGCAGCAGCAGCACCTCGAGGGGGAAA